AAATACCATAAAAAGAAAGCTCTATTTGTGTGAAAAAAAGGACGTAAATTTTGTTTGGGTACAGCATTGCATGACCGCGCAATTATCATTTGAATTAGTGCAGCGCCAAACAGCAAAAAAAGGCCTGGTCATTAAGGGGGGTAAATCCTTTGGGGCTCAAGTGGTTAAAAAAAAACATTTACAGCCCACATCAAAACACAGAGTGTGGTCTGGGGCAATTCACCACAATATCTCTTCCTCCCCAAACCACAACAGGCAAGGACTTGAAAATAACCTGGCCTCTTACAAGACAAAATCACCCACTACTGAAGGGCTTTATATAACATAGGCTACACCCACCACTGTCATTCATCAGGTCAGAGAAAGTGTTTGCACCTGATTAATCCTCTTCCCACCTGTGTTAACCCTTGGTATACAGGCCCCACAAATCAAAGTCAGAAAGAAAGCCACAGTGAAGTGTACCTGTGCAGCATATAACATAACATTGAACAGGGATGTGAAGGGGAACCCCATGGCAATATTTATTGGCACTATAGCCATAATTCACTCCAGATTATTGCATGAGTTAAGGCAGTCCCATGACCACATCTCGCATGCAATACTGAAAATGTCAATTCACTTTTGCTAGCATGTGGGATTTCTCATAAATTGGAAAAACACTCAGGAAATCAAACATAAAAATGCCTTACACCCCAGTCACACCAAAGCCAATTTAGAAATCGTGCAACTTACAGTGAAGATGCCGATTTCCTTGCGTTTTGCAAGACATCCGACACACATATCTACGCAAATCGCCACAAAAGTAGTACATGTACTACTTTAGAAATCAGTGTCGGAAACGCACCCATGTGACTGCTCTAATAACAGACAATAGGAGGCGACTTGGCATATGATTTGCAAGTCGCATGTCATGCAAATCGCATGCCAAGTCGCACTCAATGTGATTGCTATTACAGCGTTCATATTGGTGTGGTTCAAATTTGCTTGGAGCTGCAACAATTTCTAAAGTAATGAATAAACTACTTTTCATGCGATTTTCAGAGAGATCTGTGTCAGATGTCTTGCAAATCGCACTTTAAATCAGCATATCCCCTGACTTTGAAATCATGCAACTTCATTGTAAGTCGCATGATGTGACCGTAGTGTAAGTCGCACTACTTCAAAATCCGATTTGATGTGACCGGGGTGGCCCCCAGTCACATCGGGTGCAATTTGGCATGTGATCTGCATGCCAGGCGACTTGCAAATCGTAGGCCAAGTCGCCCCCTATTATCCACTATAGGCTCCATTCACATCCAATGTGTTTTTGAAATCGTGCGACTTCACTGTAAGTTGCCCGATTTCCAAATCAGATTAAATGTGACTGTGGTGTTAGCCCCCGGTCACATCAGGTGCAATTTGGCATGCGATTTGCTTGTCACAGGGCATGCAAATCGCATGCCAAGTCGCATCCAGGGTGCGTGATTTCAGGTGCAATTTGGGAATTGAAATTGTACCTGATATCGGATATAATGAATGTGGATGTGAGTGTCTTAACATACGTGATTTGCTGCAGCACAATTTCAAATGTAGTTCTTGTCTAACTTTTTCTGCATTTTGTAGCGATTTCCCATATAGACTACAATAGAAACTGCAATGCAAACACAATTGAAAACGCAATAACTCATTGGTAAATCTACAGAAAATATGGTGAAATTGCCAACAAAAACCACAATTTTAAATTGCATTTAGTGTGAATCAAGCAGGCATTTCAAGAAAGGAAATAAACCTTTGAAGGCATGCGGTATCTGCATGCTCGGATAAGGGTCTGTTATGGATTTGAAGGGGGATTTCATGGCATTATTTTATTTTTTTTTTTAAATCCTTTTCTCTCTCTCTCCCTCTCGCTCTTCTCTCTCTTTCTCAGCTCTTGGCTTGACAAATCCTTCCCAAAAAGGGGGCGGAGTGCAAACCAGCATTATCAAGTCAATCATTAGTCAAGGCCCTTATCTCATCCCATCATTTGACATTCACATAAGGAGCAGCTTTTGAAGGTGTTTGAACAGAGAAGGCCTCATTCTAATTCACATTCTAGAGATCATTTAGACAGAAAGCAAAGATGCTGCCACCAGCACATCTATGTTAGGGCAGCCGCCCAGGGAGATCATGCAATTTTATTGCCGTGGTTGGGATTCAAACCGACGACCCTATCACTGTGAGGCAGCAGTGCTAACCACTTATCCACTGAGCTGTCACACTAATCCAGCCTTTATTTCCGTGATGTGAATAAACCCTAAGTCCCTGGGCAAGGTCAGTGTAACTAGCCAGATATCTCAAATGTGACACAAATGTCGTACTATGTTGCCAATTTAGATGTATGTTGGTTTTATGTTTCCCAATACAAAGGATTGCAATACTAATACAGGCGTACCTTGGTTTACGAATGCCTCGGTTAACGTAATTTTCGGTTTACGAATGAAAATCTATTGAAAATAATGCCTCGGTTTACACAATTGTTAATAATTTTTTTTGCATTACAAAGTGTATGTCGGTGCTGATTTTTAAATGCAAATGTTAGCCTTTTTTTTTTCACTATAGTTCACAAGCTTAGCTATCACTTTGTATCTTTTAATAAACTAAAAGTAAACATTGTTTCCTTTAGGGAAATAAACTCAAAGAAAACTTTCTCTTTTAGCTGGGGGAAGTAACAGCTGAATTTTTGAGCTATAGTGAATAAAAAAAAAGCAAGAATTACATTTAAAAACCGGCACCATAATAAATAAAAAAAGGTGTGGGGTCCCCCCTCCTATCCACACCAAGTCCTTGGGGTCTGGTATGGATTTAGAGGGGAACTTCCACGCCAAAATAAAAAAAATGGCGTGGGGTCCCCCCAAAATCCATACCAGACCCTTATACCGAGCATGCAGCCTGGCAGGTCAGGAAAGGGGGGGGGATAAGCAAGCGCCTACCCCTCCTGAACCATACCAGGCCACATGCCCTCAACATGGGGGGGTGCTTTGGGGTAGGGGGGCTCCCCCCAAAGCACCTTGTCCCCATGTTGATGGGGACAAAGGCCTCTTCCCCACAACCCTGGCCGGTGGTTGTGGGGGGTCTGTGGGCAGGGGGCTTATCAAAATCTGGAAGCCCCCTTTAACAAGGGGGCCCCCAGATCCCAGCCCCCCCCACGTGAATGAGTATGGGGTACATGGTACCGCTACTCATTCACAAAAAAACAAAAAGTGTAGTGTAAAAAAAAAGACAGGACACGGTCTTTGACAAGTCCTTTAATAAAAGAGAAATCTAAAAGAATGTCCCTCGAAGTAGATCCAACGTCAATCATGGTGTAAGCCGCCAGTGACCCGAAGAAAAAAAAAAAAAAGAAGGTTCCGTTCCCGAAGATTGCATCCAGCCCTATGGTGTTGGCTGGGTTGACAGCTCTTAAATATGTAAGGGGCGGAGCCACCCAGGGACATCATCCGAGTGACCCCGCCCCATGTGACATCATTTATGTCACATGGGGTGGGATCACATGCGTGATGTCCCCGAGTGGCCCCGCCCCTTACAGATTCTGATAAGCTCCTTGCCCGCAGAGCTCCACAACCACCGACCAGGGTTGTGGGGAAGAGGCCCTTGTCCCCATCAACATGGGGACAAGGTGCTTTGGGCGGGAGCCCCCCTGCCCCAAAGCACCCCCCCATATTGAGGGCATGTGGCCTGGTATGGTTCAGGAAGGGCTCGCTTGTCCCCCCCCCTTTCCTGACCTGCCAGGCTGCATGCTCAGGTAAGGGACTGGTATGGATTTGGGGGGGACCCCACGCCATTTGTTTTATTTTGGTGTGGGATTACCCTTTAAGATCCATACCAGACCTGAAGGGCTTGGTATGGATGGGAGGGGGGACCCCACGCCGTTTTTAAAAAAATTTTTTTATTGCCGACCTTTATTTTTAGATTCAGCTGTCAAAATATATATCATCTAGACCAGCGGTTCTCAACCTGTGGGTCGCGACCCCTTTGGGGGTCGAACGACCATTTCACAGGGGTCGCCTAAGACCATCGGAAAACACATATTTCCGATGGTCTTAGGAACCGAGACACCGCTCCTCTATCTGTCTCAGGCGATGTGTGGGCGGGATGACATGCTGCCCCTGTCACCTGGCCACACCTCCGGGATCACTCAACAGCTCCGCCTCCTCGCCGCTGATTGGCCACCGGAACTGTAGCTCAGGAAAGACACACAGGCGGCCAATCACCGGCGAGGAGGTGGAGCTTGGAGAGGAGGAGCCGAGCGGCAGCGCGCATAGATCAAAGCAGATTGAGCGAGGGAGCTGCCGTAGCGAGTGAAGAGGAGAGCGGCCAGAGAAGGAAGACAGCTGACAGGTAAGTGCAAATTTTTCTGCTGCAGCCAGGTATGCTGGCTGTAGATGGGAGAGGGAGAGAGCGAGCCCAGGCTGGAGCAGGGGTCAGCAAGGTCAGTATCATTGGTGTCAGTGGGAGGAATAGTGTGCCCCATCATTTGCGTCACTAATACCAATGATGGGGCACTATTTCTCCCACACATACACCAATGATGAGGCACTATTCCTCCCCCCACTGACACCAACGATGAGGCACTATTCCTCCCCCCCCACTAACACCAACGATGGGGCACTATTCCTCCCCCCACTGACACCAACGATAGGACACTATTCCTCCCCCCACTGACACCAACGATGGGGCACTATTCCTCCCCCACTGACACCAACAATGGGGCACTATTCCTCCCCCCACCGACACCAACGATGGGACACTATTTCCCCCCCCCACTGACTCCAATGATGGGGCACTATTCCCCCCCTGACCCCAATGATGGGGCACTATTCCCCCCTCCACCACACTGACATCAATGATGGGGCACTATTCCTCCCACTGATACCAGTGATGGGGCACTATTCCTTCCACTGATACCAATGAAGGGGCACTATTCCTTCCACTGATACCAATGATGGGGCACTATTCCTCCCACTGAAACCAATGATGGGACACTATTCCTCCCACTGACACCAATGATGGGGCACTATTCCTCCCACACTGACACCAATGATGGGGCACTATTCCTCCCACCTGACACCAATGATGGGGCACTATTCCCACTTCCACACTGACACCAATGATGGGGCACTATTCCTCCCACTGATACCAATGAAGGGACACTATTCCTCCCACTGACATCAAGATGATGTTCCTCCACAGACACTGATTCCTCCCACTGATACTGACTACCAAAGATGGGACACTATATTCCTCCCACAGACATCAATGATGGGGCACTATTCCTCCCACACTGACACCAATGATGGGGCACTATTCCTCCCACTGATACCAAAGATGGGGCACTATTCCTCCCACTGACACCAAAGATGTGGCACTATTCCTCCCACTGATACCAAAGACGGGACACTATTCCTCCCACAGACACCAATGATGGGACACTATTCCTCCCACAGACACCAATGATGGGGCACTATTCCTCCCACTGACACCAATGCTGGGACACTATTCCTCCCCACTGATATCAATGATGTGGTACTATTCCTCCCACTGACACCAATGGTGGGGCACTATTCCTCCCACTGACATCAGTGATGTGGCACTACTCTCCTCCCACTGACACCAATGATGGTGCACTATTCCTCCCACTGACACCAATGATGGGACACTATTCCTCCCCACTGATATCAATGATGGGGCACTATTCCTCCCACACTGACACCAATGATGGGGCACTATTCCTCCCCCACTGAAACCAACGATGGGGCACTATTCCCCCCTCTACCACACTGACATCAATGATGGGCACTTATCCTCCCACACTGACACCAATGATGGGGCACTATTCCTCCCACTGATACCAATGATGTGGCACTATTCCTCCCACAGACACCAATGATGGGGCACTATTCCTCCCACTGACACCAATGCTGGGACACTATTCTTCCCTACTGATATCAATGATGTGGTACTACTCCTCCCACTGACACCAATGGTGGGGCACTATTCCTCCCACTGACATCAGTGTGATGTGGCACTACTCCTCCCACTGACACCAATGATGGGGCACTATTGCTCCCACAGACATCAATGCTGGGACACTATTCCTCTCACTGACATCAGTGATGTGGCACTACTCCTCCCATTGACACCAATGATGGGGCACTATTCCCCTCCCCACACACACACACTGACATCAATGATGGGGCACTATTCCTCCCACACTGACACCAATGATGGGGCACTATTCCTCCCACTGAAACCAATGATGGGACACTATTCCTCCCACTGACACCAATGATGGGGCACTATTCCTCCCACACTGACACCAATGATGGGGCACTATTCCTCCCACCGAAACCAACGATGGGGCACTATTCCTCCCACACTGACACCAATGATGGGGCACTATTCCTCCCACTGATACCAATGAAGGGGCACTATTCCTCCCACTGACATCAGTGATGTGGCACTATTCCTCCCACTGATACCAAAGATGGGACACTATTCCTCCCACAGACACCAAAGATGGGACACTATTCCTCCCACAGACATCAGTGATGTGGCACTATTCCTCCCACTGATACCAAAGATGGGACACTATTACTCCCACAGACACCAAAGATGGGACACTATTCCTCCCCCACAGACACCAAAGATGACTACCAATGCTGGGACACTATTCCTCCCCACTTATATCAATGATGTGGCCCTACTCCTCCCACTGACACCAATGGTGGGGCACTATTCCTCCCACAGACATCAATGCTTGGACACTATTCCTCTCACTGACATCAGTGATGTGGCACTACTCCTCCCACTGACACCAATGATGGGGCACTATTCCCCCCCCACACACACACACTGACATCAATGATGGGGCACTATTCCTCCCACACTGACACCAATGATGGGGCACTATTCCTCCCACTGAAACCAACGATGGGACACTATTCCTCCCACTGACACCAATGATGGGGCACTATTCCTCCCACACTGACACCAATGATGGGGCACTATTCCTCCCACTGAAACCAACGATGGGGCACTATTCCTCCCACACTGACACCAATGAAGGGGCACTATTCCTCCCACTGATACCAATGATGTGGCACTATTCCTCCCACTGATACCAAAGATGGGACACTATTCCTCCCACAGACACCAAAGATGGGACACTATTCCTCCCACAGACACCAATGATGGGGCACTATTCCTCCCACTGATACCAATGATGGGGCACTATTCCTCCCACTGATACCAACGATGGGACACTATTCATCCCACTGACATCAGTGATGGGGCACTAATCCTTCCACTGTAACCAATGATGTGGCACTAGTCTTCCCACTGCAAAATTACAGTTATGAAGTAGCAACGAAAATAATTTTATGGTTGGGGGTCACCACAACATGAGGAACTGTATTAAAGGGTCACGGCATTAGGAAGGTTGAGAACCACTGATCTAGACCTTAGATATATGTAAAACCATTACATAAATAATTATAAAGGATAAGAACTAAGGATATCAAATTAGAATACATAAAGATATGCCTAGCTACAAATAGTGCTGTTTGTTAAACACAGTAGACGCGATTGAGTGCCGTCTGTCAGAGGACTCCATACAGAGATTTACTATTAAACAGCGTCTAAAAAGAAAGCACCCACGGCAGACGGCTAAATTGTGTTCTGCACATGCGCATTTATATCCGTGCATAGATGCTGGAAAAGCATCTAGTTCTTGATTGTCATGAATTCCTTTAAAAAAACAATTTTTTACACATTTAACATTTTTTTTTTAAATGTAATATATTGATTAAAGTGAAGTCACGATATTTGTGAAAGAAAATTTTAATGTGAACATGTCTCTGCAGTGATTTGTTGTTGTGTTAGACGTGCTTCTTAGCACGTCTGCTTTCTTAGACTGATTCCTGGATTGTGCCTATTTCGATTTTGCGTCTACTTGTTAGAGTAGACATCGCTAATAAAAAGTAAACGTTAGCCCACGGAAATGTGCCTAGGCACATTAGTAAATCAGGGCCTGTGTGTCTGCAGAAAATACATGTTGCTTGGCTGTGAAGAAAATAGTGGGACCCAAATTCCAGTGGCTCTTTAGTGGGCAGCGCTACATGATCTTTTGCCTATAGTAGACAACGTGGCAGATCTACTTGTTCTTACCTTTCCAACTCTCCACTGTTGCTTGAGTCTTCACTGGATGCCAGGAAAAAGAAACCGTACTTCCAGTTATGGTAGGAGAGCCACTTCCCCCCACCTCTCTTGCAATACAGTTCTACAGTTCTACAGTCCCAAGGGTCAAATCTCCAAGCCTTTTATACACTACTTCCCTCTCCAGGTTTTTGTAAATTATAGCATGCTGGACTGTGCATGTATGGCATTTATTATAAGTTCAGAGAAATCCCAACAGCCATTTTGTTCATGTCTGCCTAAATAACTTACAGCAAACAGCTTTATTTCTATGATAAGGAAAGCTATCAAAAGGGAAATATTTAGGCTTCTATTCCTGACTGCTACTTACGTACCTGTCTTACCGGTCTATAGCTTCAATACTTTAAAGCCCATCTCTGGGCAAAAGGGTTTTCTCATGCAGTGGGGCTGTGCCCACACTGCATGGGTTAACTGCTCATTTTTGTCTAGGGGAGAGGAAAAAGCAGATTTACTTACCTAATCTCTGATCCTCCCAGCAAAAGACCAGCCCGGCACTCTTGCGATCCAACAGTCTCAAAGATTGTTCCTGATGTCATGAAGCCCAGAGCAGGCTCCACAGACTAGGAATAGTCCACTGCTAGACTGTGGGGAAGTGCCATTTTTCTTGGGATGGCTGGGGTGAGTATAAGCTTTTTCCTCACCCTTAGACTATTGTCTAAGCAGGTAACCTGTGCCGTGTGGGCACAGCCCAACTTCAATAGGAACATTTTATTTTGTCTAGAGATGGGCTTTAAGTCACTGGCCTGGAACTTGCATGTGGCAAGTGAAATCAGTAATCCTAGGTGCTGTATTTGCTTTGGTTTCAATACCTTTTCATGCTCAGATCAGAGTCATGGAGCCATAGAATCTACATGGCAGTGAAAATACAAGCAGTTTCAAAAAGAAATTAACAATAGCAACCTACTGTATATATTCCTTTTATATCAAAATTTCTAAAGCTGAGTAGCGCCATAAGAATCCTGCAGATAGGGAGAATTATGAAAAGAGGAAAGGTAGTTACTTAAAAGAAATCTTAGTTCCAATATTTAAAAGTTGAAGATTTTTGGCACCAGTAAAATATTTTCAGATTCACATAAAGCACAGAATGTGTATACAACTTGCAACAGTTTGGGGTTGATCATGTACAAACAGGAAACACAGCACTAAATAATGACAGAAACACATACATTTCAGAATTTAACCAAAATAATTACCACCAGTAAAAAGAGTAATTTTTTGTTGCAACAAGATATACAGTATATAAAGGCTAGCTAAAGACACTAGTGTAATAGTCTAAACCACCACAGGCGGAAATGAGCAAAAGAAGGAATATATTTTCTTTGAAAAAAATAGTTTGCCATGCAAATAATTTATCTGGAATCTTAGACAAATGTGGTTGAATTTAACCTGTTGCCCTCTTTTTGCTACTCGGCGCTGCACTAATTGCGCGGTCATGCAATGCTGCACCCAAACAAATTTATGTCCTTTTTTCCACACAATTAGAGCTTTCTTTTGGTGGTATTTGATCATCTGTGCGCTTTTTATTTTTCACGCTATAAACAAAAAAAGACCGAACATTTTGAAGAAAAACATAATTTTTTATTTTCGGCTATAAAAAAATATATAGTAAACGTAAAGTTAGTTATAAATTTAGACCAAAATGTATTCTGCTACATGTTTTTGGTAAAAAAAATCCCAATAAGTGTATATGGATTGCTTTGTGTGAAAGTTATAGAGTCTACAAACTATGATATAGATACTGCAATTTACGCCGTTTTTTTTTTGCTATACAGCGCTGCATTAGTTTACCTGACAATTGCGCAGTCATGCAATTTGTGTGAAAAAAAGGACATAAATTTCATTTATGTACCATAAATGAAATTTATGTCCTTTTTTTCACACAAATAGAGCTTTCTTTTGGTGGTATTTGATCACCTGTGCGCTTTTTATTTTTGGTGCTATAAACAAAAAAGTTTTGAGAAAAAAATGTTTTTGGGAAAAAACACTATTTTCTCATTTCTGTCATTAAAAATATACAAAAAAACTAAAATTTCATCATAAATTTAGGCTAAAATGTATTCTGCTAGTTTTTGGTTAAAAAAAATCCCAATAAGAGTAAATTTATTGCTTTGTGTGAAAGGTATAGCGTCTACAAACTAAGGTATAGATAATGGAATTTACACATCTTTTCCTTTCTGACTGCTCATCACATTTCTTGTTGTGCTAAAATACCAGGATAGTACAAACACACCCAAATGACCCCTTTTCGGAAAGTAGACACCCTAAGCTATCTGCTGAGAGGCATATTGAGTCCATGGAGGATTTATTTTTTTTCCACAAGTTTTTGGAAAATTACAAAAAAATGTTTTTTTTTTGTTTTTTTTTACACAAAGTTTTAATTTAAATGATATATTTCTCGCACAAGCCATGGACATATGTGGAATTACACCCTAAAATACATTCTGCTACTTCTACCGAGTATGGGGATACCACATGTGAGACTTTTTGGGAGCCTAGCCACATACAGGAGCCTGAAATCCAATGACCACTTTGAAAACCTGAAGGTGCGTAACTTCCTCATTTCACTTCCTCACTACCTATCACAGTTTCGGAGGCCCTGAAATGCCAGGATAGCCCCAAACCCCCCCCAAATGACCCCTTTTCGGAAAGTAGACACCCCAAGGAATTTAAAAAGAGGTACAGTGAGTATTTTGCAGATTTAACTTTTTCTCACAAAGTTTTAAAATATAAAAAAAGAAAAGAAAAAATGTTTTTTTTTTTTCTTCATTGTCCAAAAACTTGTGGCAACAAACGAGATCTGTAAAATACTCACAATGCTTCTGATCAAATTCCTTGGGGTGTCTACTTTCCCAAAAGGGGTCATTTGGGGGGATTTGGTGCTATCTTGGCATTTCAGGGCCTCCAAAACTGTGATACGTAGCCAGGAAGTGTAATGAGGAAATAAAGCCCTTTTAAAGCCTGAAGGTGCTTATTGGATTTTGGGGTCCTGTACTTGGCTAGACTGCCAAAACGTTTCTCACATGTGGTACCCCCATACTTCGGAGAAGTAGCAGAATGTATTTTGGGGAGTAATTCCACATATACCCATGGCATGTGTGAGCAATAAATCATTAAAGTGACAATTTTGTGTAAAAAAAAAAAAAAACCTTTTTTTGGTTATTTTCCAAAAACGTGTGGTAA